GGACCCAAGTAAGAGTACATTTCAAATTCTTTTTAAGTTATTCCCCCATTTCCCTCAAGTTTTCCTTAAATCCCTATGCATCTCCAAGTGTTCATCATTGTTTTCCTGATGATCCTTTGAAGTAAAGAATTCTTGTAAAACCCTTTTCTACCGGAATAGTGAATTTTTCGGTACGTATTTTCTCAGTCGGCGAGATCAGAGATTCCATGGTTCATGTTACGAATCGTAACGGAATTGGGGATATTTTCCGGTGGGTCCGGTTGAAAAATGTGCTTCCCTTTTCGCTTGTGAATATGGTTGAATCTGAAGTCGTCGATAGTACTTTTCCATAACCGTTTTTTATCATTTTAATGAAGCATATTTTGCATATAGGAAAAACACTCGTGTTTCGTATCTTGTGTTTCGTGTTAATCAGACCACGAGAATCGTAATAGCTATCAACGTCGGATTATAACGGTCTTGTATAACACGAACCCTGTTTACTTCGGCAACGATGATGAAACTTGGAACTTAAACGCAATTCAATTTGCTTATATAGCAAACAAAAAGCTTCTAGAGAATTCTAGAGTCAGCATATCATAGTTCCCGGAAAGAACGCACTTTCATTCCTTATCGCCGGTGACTAATCCTTTATCGACTTTATGGCGACTTGACGCCGCCTTGATGTCGCTCTAGAAAATTCGCTACCATTTTTCACCAGTTTCCACAACTACTATCCAGTAAAAACCGTTATAAACTCCAACTTCTGGAACACGTTAGATCCATCAGAAATACTTTTTCAAAAAGAACATTTTTCAAAATTTGACGATTTTCGAGTAAAACATGAAGGATCACCAGTGCATTGCAGAAATAAGAACACTGTTATTAATATTTACTGGGAGAAATATAAGTCGAGTTGTTAAGCGAAACGCTCATGCTTTCACTCAACCGTCCGGTTGCTTGCTCGCTCGATGGATTCATGTCCATCGATTTAAAAAGGTACAATAAAATTTTGCAGGTGGATTCTTTATCCAATTTGTAGATCGGAGTTAGTGACTTGCCGATGTAGGCCAACAAATAAGGAAGGCCCTATTGACATCTCCATTAGTTATGAACCTAATTGCATGAAATTCAAACTGGGCATAGCAATGACAAAAGCTGAGCCAAGTCGATTCAAAATCCATAGTGCCTTTTTAGCGCAGTTATGCAAATTTATTTGTAAAAAAATAGCTTTTAATCTCACTTTAGATGGCTGGCTGGCTGGTAGCAAATGAGGGCTCGTAAAAGAACGTTTGTACAAAGACGAGGAGTGTAATTAACAACTTATGGACGGGACTACATGATATTGGGCCGGCGACATCTGGGCGCCATTCCCGAGCTGGTTTACTAACGTAGTGATTTTTCAGTTTTTCCTATCTTCTTCTACAGTTTTGGTCAGATTATTTTCAAAATGGTGTCGGAAAGATCTTGTAAACGCCCACAACTCCTGTGTGACGGAATATTGTTTTTTTCCTAGCAGCGAAATTAACCACCCTTTGCAAGGCGCGCGTTTTTAAGGGATAGTCTATTTCGGACCGCTCCAAAATTTGTCACGCCGTTTCTTAAAGCGGTCTCTCTTTCTCATGCCGCCAATAAAAGCTTGAACTATGAGAAGTGTCCCAAAAATTGAATGCTACTTTGTGGAGGGTTTTTAGCGAAATCCATCAAAATGTCTCATTTATATGTTGGAGGAGGAGGAGTCAGAAATGGGTACCGACAAAGTAAATGTGGTAGGCCCCGACAAGATCTCTTACTAGCTAATAGAATATTGATGTGCCACACAAAAATGTGCTGAGGTACCTTCGATCTCACACCAGGACTTTGATAATTTTTCCAAGAAGAACGATCAGATCTTGTTACTTGCTCACTGCAGATCGATGGCAATATTTCTGCAGGAATCAAGTGTTTTTAGATTGATTATCCCTTTAGAGGATCTACTAGTGACTCTAAATGCATGAATGTCAAATTCAAAGGTCACCAGGAAGTAAACGTTGTAATGGAACCAAATTTGCTCGATAAAATTCGATTTAAATATTATCGAATCCGCCCCGGCCGCAACGAAAGAATTCAAGATTGCGCTTTGTTTCGTTTCCGTGGAACACGTGTTATTTTCCCTACCCTAAATTCAAATGGGCCATAATTTACAAAAAAATGTGTCATAACGCTACACGAGCAAAGTTAATGATCCATATCGCCCGACACTGGGCACGTCGATGTTAACAATTTTCGTCTAGGGTTTGCTTAAAGGGGAAATTTGAGCAGATGTTTTGGTGCTTTTGTTGAGGGCAGTGGTAATTTTTACGTTTAGCATGCAGACTTACTGAGAGTCTCAACTATTATTCAGGTGTTGTATTTTTATTTTTTTTATCTTTACGTATATTGCATCCATCTAGCAATTATATGATCGTGTTAGATTATTTGCCAAATTAATGACATTCCAGTACAGCATGGGCATTGTCATTTATAGCGCATTACAAATACAGTTTGCTCCTTTATAATTTTGATGATCATAATTTGAATTAAATGCAAGATTCCATTATGTTTCCTGCGTAAATATGTTGTTTTCCAATTTACACTATCCAACCCGCAGATTCATGTGTTTTTATTTATATTTAGATACAGTATGTTCTCTTAGGAATGATGTTCAATGTGAGTAAGAGTATGCAGAATTATCTAATAAATATTATAGCGATTCGTGGATGGTGCTATCACATCGTCACTACATTGTTAATCTATAATTAAATGTATTGCATATTTTCTTTCTTTTGCATGAATATGTTCTGTTTATTTACAGGGTGCTTCATCTGGGGGCGAGTGACGTATGTTAGGTCGTTGATTGTTACATATTGCACTTGGCGTTGAGAATTAATTACTTTATACTAATGTTTTGCCACGACATGTTCTTTTGTTTTGTTGCAATGTGATACTTAACGTTATGTTCCTACTATTTATTTGAACTGGGTAATTATGAATATTTGACGGGGTAACTTTTTTCTAATATGTATTTGATACCGATAATCAATCTCGATATGTACTGTTTTTTTGTTTCTTAGAAAAGAGCCATCTTGTCGATATTGCTAATTCCTTTAGTCGATCCTTGACATGTAGTGACCGAATATGTCAACTGTCAACTGTCCTTTGTTTTTGTATCCATTGGGGTATCCTTTCCGAGCGAAATGTTCTTCTGAGAGGGCAACCCCTAGGGTTTTCATACAAAGCTGACATTCTTTAGGAATTCCAGTGGAGTCTATGATTCGACATTATATTAATTTACTTGACAACCATCATAATATGCATTTATGTCTTACTAACCTATAATAGCACATTTTATATCTGTGATACGCGGGCATAAAGTACCACTTTATGCCCTAGGGCATTAAGTATCACCATAGTAACTCATTTATACTTAATGACAAAACAAACAAATATTTGCAAGTCATTGAAAATTAGAAATGTCAATTATTAATTGTCAATACCTACTAAATCACAAGATTGGCCTTATTTCGTATAGTTTCTGGAACTTCTTGCTCATTCACGATGAATTGAATTATTTAAAATTACGTTTGACGTTTGGATGGTTTCAATCACATTAACAAATTCGAACCACGCATACTCGATCAAACATAATGAATTATTTTGTAAACGAATTTTGACGAAGAAAACTATTTGTAAAACATAAAATTGTGTATGTACCACGGGCATAAACTGATGTCTATACTCTCGGGCGACTAAAAAGCTCTCGGGCCATAGGCCCTCGAGCTTTTTAACTCGTCACCCTCGAGAATGTAAACATCACCATTATGCCCTTAATACATAAATAACTATTATGTCCTTACAGACAATTAATTTTGCTATAAAGTTTAATATTAATTTGTTGGGTGGTTTTTTTTCTTGGTCAGTTCTTTTTTTCCCCAGCCTATTTTTATATTTGTAAAAATTCAATTAAGCCTCGAAACATTATTTCGTGTTACGGGTCGTCAGAGCGTTTGTGGCGTACCGAGAAGAGTACCAGAAGTAGCTTTGGATTGTGTAGGGACTTTTTTTTTAAATCAAATTTTGATCTGTACGAGTGAATATTGAACGAGTAAATCAAAGTTGTAAATACTGTTTAATTTAAAGAAAAGTTTCGATGACATTTTTGTCCTCCGACGGATTGCGCAATTTTTGCAATCACATGAAATTAAAAAAAAAGCGAAGCCGAATTCCTTTACGAGGTCCATAAGTTTCCATCCAAAGACCTTTTGGAGACATGCCGGCAGAACCTTCCGTGCCCGAGTTGCACATTTCGGGAATTTTGCAACTGTAAATAGGGTAATAATATGCATAACTGCGCATCGAAATTCAAAAACGCAATTTTTGCTTCCTAAAATTGGGACCTTTTAAATTTGAAGTGTTTTTGCAACTTCTTGTATACCTACTGTCTGTGAGCGATAAACAAGTCATCAACAGGTCTAAAAAATTTAAACGTGTTATTAAGTATTAAATTAAGAAATGTTCAGGGATCGTAAATCATCTTTGGGTAATTATGGTCCTTTACATATACCCACTAATTATAAGGTTATACCAAGGATGAAATCATACGTGTTTGCAAATTCTACAATGAATCAGTTCGTTCTTGTCAAACCCCCCTCTCTTCCACTCATCAACGTCCCGGAATTGCTTGCAAGGTGGTGCAAAATTATAAGGGTGGTGGTTCACGCTTCTTCGTAAAAATTGGAAAGTTTGGCGCTTACTCCATTACATCAGTGGAAATATCCGGTGATAATGTTATAACCAAAACTTTTTCTCAGGCTCTGAAATAACCACTGCAAACAATTGTGTAACCATGTACAACCTTTGGTTTACACGAATGATAAAAATGATGAGTTTCTTACTCGAATCTTCGTAGTCAAACAACAATAATTAGCAAGTTTAAATTAATTGCTTGTCTAACAAGGGGAATTCCACAAAAAAAAAGCGCAAATTAAATCGCAGGCACTTACCGTGAGAGTGGATCGACGAACAATGCGATGATAATAACAGCGAGAACGATGCACGATAAATAGATTCCGGATATTTCGAAAATTTCCTTGTCATCTGGTCGCGCCAAGTTGTCGTTGTTGTTCAGGTTCATAACACAAAAATTTGCACCGCAGGAGTCGTACGTTTCGATCGACCCATTCGAGCTGGATCCTCCGTGGGCGCCATGCGGGTTGCTTAATACTGAAATAGAAAACAAACGAAATTAGGGACCTTATTATTGAAAAGTATAAAAATAAGCTCGATTGCGCCGAGCAGTTGGCAACATAAGTTTTATTTCGTAAAGCTGGTTTGTGTTGATTTCTTATTTTACAGTAGAAAAAGTGGCAAGACCGATTTATAACTATATACCGGTTCATGACATCCTCGCGCAAAAAAAGGACGAGAAAAAGATGCGGTCGGCCAAAAGTATGTGGTTTTTTCCACAAACTGGTACCTATAATATGTATATAAACTGGCTTGGGTATTAAAGATGCACAGATGTATACGAAATTACATTTAGCGTACGCCATTTTGATAATTAATCGACTGATGAATGTTACATACAGCATGGATTTTGAATTCAGACCTTCTTTAGTAATTCATACATTCATAATACATACAGGCGAAAGTTACGCCACTGTACATTTAACTGGCGCGAATCTAACAAATTCAAATTGCACAAGGACGAAGACGTGTCGCGTATTGCTTTTCTTCAAGTGAAAAATTTTTCTTTGTTTTTGTACCATTAAATAAGTAGGGTGTAGGTAATTGCCTTTGCTGTTGATTTACGGTGATTGATATTATAAATTTGAATTTGCAGGGCTTTTGTGAAAAGGTTGCGCAATGCTTGTAAATGTATTATTAATTCATTTAGAAGTAGTTTTGTTGATTTGTTATAAATAGCACATACATAATGCTTTCGCATGTAGTAGGTACATAGCAAATTGATTGAAAACGTAGCTTCAATTACATTTGTAAAATTTGTGCAATCGTTTTAATTTTGTGCAATTTTCGCATAGATTAACTAATATTCTGTTTTGAATTCAGAGTTAGATTTGATTGGTTAGTTGGAGGTTGAAGATTAATTAATATACAGGGCTTTGATACAATTTAGGGTATTTTGCAGATTTGGTGAACGTATTTACCTTTAGTGGAATTTTCTACATTGTAGTGTTTATAATTTTAACATTTCGCAGAAAGGTGACTTTAAAATTCAATTATGATTTTTGTTATCGACTTGTGCGATGAGTAGAGGATTTTTGATTTAGAGACTACTTTGTTCTTCTTCAGTTTAGAGCCCATGTTTATGATTCTATTTTAATTGTAAATGATTTGTACCTGATTATGAAGCTCAGTTCCGGGCTGCCTTTCTTGGCCTGTGAGTCAAGTAAGATTGCATATTATATTTGCGTTCTTTTCACCCTCTTATGTTCGAGTACAAATTATGTAATATTTAAATATTTTATCCCCTCCTTTGAAGTTATGACTGTACAAGACAATGGCATTTTGCCCCTATTTCATTTTGAATAAATGCCAAATGTGATTACTTTCATGACTCCTGCATATTTATGTTGTTTGGATACAACTGTTATATGATGGGTTCCCGAAACCCTATTCTATATGCATTATACCCTGTATTATTACAATGAGACAGGTTATGTTATGGGCAAAAAACGTTGGAGCTCTAACCAAAAACCATGAACACAAATCATACTGATGCGTATTCTTCATCTGTGAGACTAGTGTGAACGTCAGAGCTCCGTTTCATAACAGGCCTAATAAACATATTCATTTCGGTGAAAGATGGTGGCATACTATTTTAAATATAGGTAAATGAAATTTTGCGATGTTGTCGTACAGGTTGAAAACTATTATAATGCAATTGTAAAATGCAACTTAGAAAAGAAATAAGACCGTACGAGAGTACATTTCCTGGAAGGTATTCAGTAGCTCTTTTTCCTTTCTTGTAATCAATGAAAACCCTAGAGCTACTATCGGTTGTGAGAGGGCAACTTCTATTTAAATTTTTATTTATTTAACAGTCACTCTTCGCCATTTCTTGTGTTTTATTTATGTTAGTGGTAATCGATCCTTAGAGCAACACACCCTCGAGCACCTCGTTTCACAACACAACGTAGGTCCTATCATTATACAGGTTTGTTACATGGCGATCATGTGCCATGAGTTTCAGTTAGTTTTGAGCGGGAGTTTTGATTTTTTGGTTTTGAGTTGTGCAGTCGCTTCTCGGCTGCACCTTGAGTTATTACAATTTTCAACATATTCTAAGGAATTCTGAAGAAATAGTGTCTAGATGCTTGAAAGACAAGATTGTAAAGGGTCTGTGAAGTAATGTGCAACGATTCTGAAAGATTTTGAAGCGATTGGAAAAAGAGAAGTAATTTTAAAAAAGTGATTAAGATTCTTTAGGATCGCTGAAGAATTTACCACATTTTGTTGAGACTGTAAAAAATTTAACGAATTTTGAAATGGTGTTAAGTTCTGAAGAGATATTGGTGTTTGAAATGATAATAACAGAGTGTTAGAAACATTTTCTCTCAAGTAGTGTTCTTTTAAATAGGAAAAATAAGGCAAATGCGGGAAAAAGAGTGTGTACGTCTCTGTACGCTAATTTTGTTAAGTAATTGACCTTTCTGGTTATTTGAAGACGCAGTTTTGTCGCAACCAAAATAATCTATGCAGATACAGTTTAGTTATAGTTCGTGCAAACTTTAATGCGGTTCGTTCGTTTACGGAAGAAAGTTACGTTGATTTTGGAAAAGCAATGCACTGCATAATAAAACCGTTTTAGAACGTTATTTTATCAACAAAAGTTTAAAGTGTTTCCCGTCTGAATAGCCATAAGAAAGAAATTTTGTCCTTTAATTCAACAAAGTTCGACTGATTGAGTGTTTTTGCATATGTGCCTGATTATCGCAACCGTTATTTTGGTCAGATTGGATCATTAAAATAAGTAATTTTAAGTTTTTCCTTACTAATTTGTGATCGAACACCTGTGTGGGGTAAATGTAAGAACGGACTTGTTCCCTTCTTCATTCCAGGTTTTTCTTGCTGATTTTCTGCGAATGTGTTTCAGAATAACATTGTTTTATTGTCATTGTCAATCTATTAATTGTGTGTTTATTTGAATCCATGGTACAACGCAGATAGAGTTTTCATGGTTCTGATTTTTCTATCTGTGCTCAAGATTTATCTCAGGTGTTAAAAGAAATTTGTGTAATTGATTCTTTGGAATTTTCGGAAATTGATTATTAGAATTTTTACTTTGTAGCGAATGCCGGAGCTGTACACAGAGAGAGAGAGAGAGAGAGAGAGAGAGAGAGAGAGAGAGAGAGAGAGATCATAAAAAAAGTTTCTATTTTTTTAAAATTTGAGGTAGCTGGTTTGTGGGTGCCGCGATTCGAGCTCTAAGAAACTTTTGGTCGACTGCTCCTCGAAGACGCGCGCCTTGCGAAAGGTAGTTAATTTCACTCCTAGGAAAAAAAAACTTTACAACGATCGGACCAAAACTATAGAAGAAGATAGGAAAAAAACTGAAAAATCACCACGTTAGTATAACACGCTCGGAGCTGGCGCCGAGATGTCGCCGACCCCACATCATGTAGCAAAATTGTTAATTACACTACCTTGATAGCTACATAATATACATGTACACTCCTCGTCTACAAATTAATTTACAAAAAGAGATTTTTAACTCTGTCTAGACATCTAGAGTAACAAAAAGAAACTTGAAGAGTATTTGAAGGGGTTTGGGGGATTCTGATAAGATTACAAAAAGATATTGACATGATCAAGAGATTTCGAAAACGTCTTGCAAATATTGTATAAAATCTTGGAAAGATTTGATAAAACATTAAAAAAATTAAAGACACCCTAAAGATCTGTGGTTCTGAAAAGATATAAAAAATGCATTAGGAGATTATGAAAAAACTTTACAATAATATTGAAATGGCTGTACATACTTTGAGAGATTTTTACCCAAGTTGGAAGATATGCTATATTTTGGAAGATCCAGATCCTCAAGAGTTCTTAAAAAATGCTGAAGAGGTTCCGAGAGATTCTAAGTGGGTTCCGAAGATATTCGGTATGGAAATACATAATGAAAAATTGTTAACGTGATTATGAACAAACTGTGAAGACTAAAGCGATTCTGGAGAGCTCTTTGAAGATTAAGAATTATGATTATGAATTTGAAAAGACTGAAAAGATTCTGGAGAAACTTTGAAGAGGTCTTACATGACTCTGAGAAGATATTGTAAAGGCTCCGTCCCTTTTCTCTCACTAATTCTATTTCTATAAACTCAAGAATCGGGTGTAACGGGTTGTCGCTTTGCAGTTTCGAAAGTTTTGTTTTGAATTTTGCAATTCGTTCAACATAGGAAAATTTACATGTATACCGCTTCATACGAAGCATGAACGTAAGTAGGTCTAGTGATAAAACGCACGCAGGTCAGAAAGATATCTGGGTTTTATCTTCCACGATAAAATAACGATCGCGAAAGCATGCTCTGTTGCCACGATGTCTTTGGTCCTCAAAAACGCGTCGGTTCCATTTTAAGCCGGCTGAAAGAGCCGAAATGCGGGTTTTCTATTCGTTATTGTGGGATGATAGTCGAGATTGTTTCGATCAGAAAATGGGTGTCGTTTCGGTTTTTCCGTGGGGCCGGGAAACCTTTTGATCACGTACAATAATTCTTAACTAAGTTACGAGAGCTAGCACGTATTACTAGGCGTAATTGCGATGATTCGAGCTTCAAATTCAAAAGCCAACACGTAAAGAGCGATTCAAAAAATTCAGCACCGTGGTAGGCGGCGATAAGGTGTTTATCGACAACGAACCTCAGAATTATTTCGAGTCGTTAATTAAATTAAAAATTCAAATGTCTAATTAAGCGAATTGTCAGTTACGTGGTATGTTCACAAATAAACTTCCATTGCCAACTATGATGTTGCATTTTTTTAATCGCTCAAAATAACTCCACGTTCGCACCTCCAGGTGCTTATGGACATACAGTACATGCTTGCCAAACGTGACAATGACAACACAAGGAATAATCATTTGGCAACATTGCTGAGGAACAAGGATAGCATTATCGACGAAAGACGCAAATTAGTAAGAGAGGCAGTTAGTCCTAAGACCCCATACCTACTGCACCCGATTGACATTGCGCAGTGTGCGCATA